CGCACACAGGCCAGCGAGCGCATGGGGGATTACGGTGTCCGTCAGCAGCCACAGCCTGCCGGCCCCTTGACTGGCGCACTCTGAGGCTCCGCACCCCCCTGCGAATACCGGGCCAGCCCTCCAGCAGCTGGCAGAGTAGGGGAGGGGGGATCCAGTATACCAGTTTCTTACCTCCACCCGGCTTGTTCCGCGGCCTTATGGCAGCGACATTGGGCGCGATGCGCGAGGTGGCAAATGGCCGGTTTCAGCATGCTGCTGGCTGTGGCCATTTGCCGCCTCATGCATCACACCCAACGCCGCTGCCATGAGGCCGTGGAACAAACCGGGTGGAGGTAAGGAACCGATATACCGGTTTACCACTGCCCGGCTTGTTCCGCGGCCTTATGGCAGCGGCATTGCGCAGGAGATGGCAAATGGCTGGTTTCAGCACGAAGTGGCTGTTTGCTGCTGGCCGCGGCCATTTGCCGCCTTGCGCGTCACACCGAATGCCGCTGCCATGAGGCCGCGGAACAAGCCGGGCAGAGGTAAGGAACTGGTATACCATTTTTTTTACCGCTGCCCAGCTTGTTCCGCGGCCTCATGGCAGCGGCATTGGGCAGGAGGCGGCAAACGGCTGGTTTTGGCACAACGCAGCTGTTTGCCACCTCATGTATTGCACCCAATGCCGCTGCAATGCGGCTCGGCCGAAAGCCGCCGTGGAACAAGTGGGGCAGGTTCCCCCCTCACCTGCCCATTCAGCTACAGCTTTGGTGGCTCTGTAGGCAGAGCTGCGAAGTTCTCTTCTCTGACAGAGAAGAGAACTTCGCAGCTCTGCTTACAGAGCCACCAAAGCAGCAGGTGGATCGCCAGAGGCTCAGGGAGGGAGGGTGCTGAAGTGGGCGGTCGGGCCATTGGTAAGAGCAACGAGGTTGAGCGGAAAGCGGCCTCGGAACAAGTGGGGCAGGTAAGGAAAGAAATTCTCGCTCCCCCCAGAAATTGCCTTTCTTTCCTTACCTGACTCCCAGCCCCGTGCCCTTTCTCCTTCACGATCTGCCACTGCTGCTTGCAAGGACAAAGGAAGGTTTGTTTGGGGGAAAAAAGGTTAATCAATCAATTCCAACTTCTCATGAAAGATCGCGAAGTTGGAATTGATTGACCTTTTTTCCTCAAAAAAACCTTCCTTTGTTTCCTTGCATGCTTCAGCACCCTCCCTCTCCGAGCCTCCGGCGCTCCACCTGCTGCTTTGGTTGGCCTGCCAGCCCCCACCTCAACACCCTGCCCACTGCCGCCTAGCACGGCCGCCCCGGGGCTGCAGGGGCTGGCCTGGCATGGGAAGAGCACGCGCCCCACCCTCCCGCCACAATGCAGGGTAAGGTTGCCGCGCCTGCCCCCGCCCAGATGCCCTTGCCTCCCTCAAGTGTTTTTTTACTAACCTGCCTTTTCCATTTCTCCGCTTCTCAGCCTTCGCTGCGTGTTTGTGGGACTATCGGTAAAAAAAAAAAGTTCCATCAGACTTTCTAACTTCTCGCGAGATCTCGTGAGAAGTTAGAAAGTCTGATGAAACTTTTTTTTTTTACTGATAGTCCCACAAACACGCGGCGAAGGCTGAGAAGCGGAGAAACGGAAAAGGCAGGTTAGTAAAAAAAACCACTTGGGGGAGGCAAGGGCATCTGGACGGGGGCGGGCCTGGCAACCTTACCCTGCACGGCCTCGGCAGGTGTCTGGCAGGGGGAAGGAAGCAACTGGGCTACCACCTTGCTAGTGCCGCCACGTTGCTTCTCTATCCCATGCACAGGCCCTGCCCCCTCCACGCCTTTCTTTGCCATTGCCATCGCTGCTGCCATCACCCCACGAGGCCGAGGCAGCTTAAAAACCAGGCAGGCCGCCCCCCCTCCGCTACCTGCCTTTCTTCGCCATCGCCGCTGCCATCACCCCACGAGGCCGAGGCAGCTTAAAAACCAGGCAGGCTGGCCCCCCCCTCTGCTACCTGCCTTTCTTCGCCATTGCCACCGCACCATCGCCACCGCCCCACGAGGCTGGGCAGCTGGTGAGTGAATGCTGCCTTGTTGGGGCCTGCTGAGGCCGACGGCCAGCCAAGGCAGCTTCAGACACCAGGCCGCCCCTCGTCCTCCTCCTCCCGTGTGGCAAAAAAAGGTAAAATGGGGCAAAACTCATTTAACAACTGCCTTGCTTAACAATGGTAATGGTGGGCTCAATTGTGGGAAGGAAGGAAGGAAGGAAGGAAGGAAGGAAGGGAGGGAGGGAGGGAGGGAGGGAGGGAGGAAAAGGAAAGGAAGGGAAGGGAAAGGAAAAGAAAGGAAAGGAAGGAAGAGGAAAGGAAGAGAAAGAAAGAAAGAAAGAAAGAAAGAAAGAAAGAAAGAAAGAAAGAAAGAAAGAAAGAAAGAAAGAGAAAGAAGAGAAAGTAAGTAAAACACATTTTTTTTTAAACTGGGAAAGGAGAAAAATATCACTTCGGGTTTTTTCCCCCCTTGCTTTTAATTGCAAGATAATTGATATGTGTCTCCCTGTCCTGCATCTGTCCTGCACATTGGGGGATGCTTTTCACTCAACAAATTGCTTTACAAGAGGATCCTGGCAGGGCCATAAATCCATGAAATGTCTGCAAGAAAACCACCAAGCTCAGAGAGCACCGAGGACCCCACAACCATGATTAAATCATGGCTTAGTCAACAGCAGGCAGATGTTGTCAAACCACACTTAATACCATTACATCCAGAAAACTGGGGATGAAAACACATACCAGCTTACCCCACCAGGAAATTAATTTCTCTTCTACTAGCAAAGTGGGGTGTTTCTATGAAGGGAAACTACTTCAGATTTCGTTTTAGAACATAGAATAGGGTTGGAAGGGACCTTGGAGGTCTTTTAGTCTGATCCATATGGTACGCTGGCCCTAGAAGCTATTTTCTTCACCAGAGTGCCAGGGGCATTTTAAAGGCTATTTGTCCACCATGCTAATGAGGGTTTCAACTTTTATAGTTTTAAGTGAGTAGCAGAGAAAAAATATTTGTTGATATTTTCCTTGTTTTCTTTTGACGAGATTCCTGCTTCCTGCCAGCCATTTACTCAGCCAAACCTCCTTATAAGTTTGCATCTTTAATCAAAAACTAATGGTTGCTAGCAGGTCTTTTGATAAAAAGCATCTGGTTAGGGAGCATCTCCTGCCAAAGAGACCAATGGTGCTCGTAGGCCTGATTATGGGTAGTCCTCAACTTACAACCACAACTGAGATCAGAATTTCCATCGTTAAGCGGTTGTTGTGAGTCATGCCTTATTTTAGGACCTTTCTGCCATGGTTGTTAAGCAAATCACTGCAGTTGTTAAGTGAGTGAGGCAGTCCTTAAGCCAATCTGTCTTCTCCCATTGACTTTGTTGAAAGCTGGCTGGGAAGGTCACAAATGGGGATCATGTGACCCTGGGATGCTGCAACTGTCTGAGTTGCCAAGCATCTGAATTTTGATCATGTGACTATGGGGATGCTGCAACGGACGTAAATGTGAGATTGATTGATCTGGGATTAGAGACTAACAGAATAACAAGAGTTGGAAGGGACCTTGGAGGTCTTCTAGTCCAACCCCCTGCTTAAGGAGGAGACCATATACCATTCTGGACAAATGTCTGTCCCAGTCTCTTCTTGAAAGACTCCAGTGATGGAGCACCCACAGCTTCTGGAGGGAAGCAGTTCCATTAACTGTTCTGTCAGGTAATTTCTCCTTATGTTGGATCTCTCCTTGATAAGCTTCTGTTGCTTCTTGTCCTGCCTTCAGCTGCTTTGGAGAATTGACCCCCTCTTCTTTGTGGCAGCCCCTCAAATATTGGAAGATGCTACCATGTCACCCTAGCCATACCCAATTCCTGCAACCGTTCATGTTTTGGCCTCCAGTCCCCTAATCATCTTTGTTGGTCTTCTCGGCACACTTTCTAGGGTCTCAACATTTTGAATTGTGGTGACCAAAACTGGACGCAATATTCCAAGTGTGGTCTTGCCAAGGCATTATAAAGCAGTACTAACACTTCACGTGATCTTGATGCTATCCCTCTGTTAATGCAGCCTAGGATTGCATTGGCCTTTTGGGCTGCTGCACACCACTGGCTCATATTTAATTGATCTACTAGGACAGGTATTCCCATCCCCGCCCCACTATCGGGCCTTGAGCTGTTTGCAACCGGGTTGTAGAGGTGGCGGGCACACATGCGCATCCCCACTTGCATAGCAGCAGGCAAGTGCGTGCGCTCCATTTGCACGGAACCATCCCTTCTCCCTCCCCGCCAGTCCACAAATCCAGAAAGGTTGGGGAACTCTGTATCAGGACACCTAGATCCCTTCTTAGTATCTCACTTTATTTAATGGCATGGCTGTCCTCCAGCATCCCTATGAGAAAACATGTGGGACAGTTTGAGGACAATAACAGAGCTGAACAGGACCTTGGAGTCTTCTAGTCCAACCCCCTGCTCAGGCAAGAAACCAATTTGACAAATGGTTGTCCAATCTCTTCTTCAAAATCTCCATTGTTCAATGAAACCTCCACCAGTGGAGCAATTAGCAAACATAAATGCCGTTACTTGATATTAAGTCCACGCGGGCCACATCTGAGCGCAAGAGAACAAACCAAACCCCACACCTCAGAGGAATAGTTAAGAGGTTTATATTCTAATAGCTTTAATTACAGTGCTTGTTTGTTGAAATAACTGAAAACAAGTATACAAAACAGTTGACTACTGTATTGAAAGATTTTTTTTCTTGTCGACACTAAGCAAACCAGTTCGGACTGTGTTTTTCTAGAGTCGCAACAGCTCCAGCTTCAGTGTTTTATCATCAAAATACAAAAAAAAAACAACAAAAACCCAAGAAAGTTAAAGAGTCATCTGGGATGGCAAATCTTAAACCTTGCAGAATGAGGGATGCAAAAGGGGCGTTTCTCATGTCCCAAAAATGGATTCTGACACATTTAAGAATGGAAGGTGCTTGATTTTCAAACTCTTGCGTTTTCAATCCCCCCCCCCCCCCGGATGCAAGAAGCTTGTGTGACATTTCTTATTTAAGTACAGTACTTGCCGAGGTGGGACTGCTGTTGTGACGCCCGTGCAAGAGCACCGTCTTCCTAAATAATTCTAGGCTGGAGAAATTCAAGGATTTTTGAAGGAGCTACATTCCCCAGTGACAGAGAGGAAGATGAAGATGGCATTCATAGGTTGCAGGGGAAAAATAGTTTTATCGAAATTTAAGGAGCAGTTAAAGGGGTGCAGGGGGTCCTGGTTTCTCCTTAATCTGCAACTGATTTCATTCTAACTCTGGGGAAAGTCTCCCATCTGCCGACAAACACAAAAAGGTTGTCAAGAACAGAAATGAGACCAAGAATTCTACGATCTGGAACAAGGGAAACTGCTGGTATTTTTCATGTTGTTGCAGAAATCACAAAGGGTCCTAGGTTCAAGTCGTCCAGCTTTCCTTCTCACCACCCGTCTTCTAAAAAGAAACTTGTCCCCAGGCTTAAAAACATGGCTGCAGAAATCAGCCCTCAGCCCAGATCTGCAAGCCGAGAGGGATCATGTTCAGATCTAGCCCACAGACACACACAAGACACAAACAAAACCAGACTCCTGTCAACCTTTTTTTTCTGAATCTACTCAAAGTTGTTGGGTTGTTTTTTTTAACCTTTATCATAAAAAAGGCAAATAATATTGCATAGGAGTACCAGAAACTGACTTGTGGGGAAAACAAGAACTATTTACATTAAGTAAGAAGAGAAAAAAACCCCTAAAACTGTTTTTTTTTCGAGTTTGGTTTTTGCCACATGTACAGCGTGGTGAAGGACAATCCTGTGGACGAAAAAAGATGAAAATAGTTTCCGGCACTCAATACTACAAAGTAGCATGGTTTGCCACATTAGACTAAAGTGAGGAAGAGGAAGGGGAGGAAGAGGGGTGGAGAAAAGAGGAATAATTCAGGGGTTCATTTCTGGTTCCGGAGCTGATTGGACAACCAGTCCAGTCCTTCATAGAGACCGTCCCCACTGGTGGCACAGGTGGCCTGGATGTACCAGTTTCTGTGGCGGAGAGAATGCAGCCCTAGTTTGTCTGTGATTTCAGCAGCATTCATGGCGTTCGGCAGGTCCTGGAAAGGGAAGCAATTGGCTTTAGAAAAGGCAATTTTTCCCCATCACAGCCACAGAGGAAAGAGCCATATTTTACAACCTTAGAAAGGAGGCAAAATAAAAAAAGTGTATTTTATAATGTAGAGGCAGGAGTTACGCCTATCACTTTCCTAATATTTAATGCCAGCAGGGCATTGCCAGGGTATACAGGTAGTCCTCAACTTACAACCATTCGTTTAGTGACCATTTAAAGTTACAATGGCACTGAAAAGTGACTTATGATTGCTTTTCATATGACTGTTGCAGCATCCCCACGGAATGCGACAAAAACTTTTGATCTCTTGACCATGGGGACGTGGGTCTAGGATGACTCGACGCCACTAGCTCAACGTGGCCAGCTAGACCCACATCCCCATGGTCACGTGGTAACTGATTCATATTTATGACGGTTGCAGTGTCTCGGGGTCATGTGAACCCCTTTTGCAACCTTCTGACAAGCAAAGTCAATGGGGAAGCCAGATTCACTTACCAACAGTGGTAAGAAAGGTCATAAAACAAGACAAATTCATCTAACTGTCTTGCTTAGCAATGGAAATTTTGGGTTCTATTGTGGTTGTAAGTCAAGGACTACCTGTAGTCAAGGAAGTGAAGGTGGCAGCCAAACTGTGTGATCGAAGCGCTCTCTGCCCATTTTTGGATGGGTAATGAACTTGAAAAACAAGCAAAACTTCTACGGGCAGTCCTCGACTCACGACCACAATTGAGACCAGAATTTCTGTTGCTAAGCAAGGCACTTAAGCGAGTCACCCCCAATTTTTGCCACAGATTTTAAGTTGTTAATAGTTAACTGTACGATCGTTAAGTGAATCTGGCTTCCCCCATTGACTTTGCTTGTTAGAAGCTGGCTGGGAAGGTTGCAAATGGCGATCACATGACCCCAGGACACTGCAACTGTGGTAAATACATGCAGTTGCCAAGCACCCAAATTTTGATCATGTGACTGTGGAGATGCTGCAATAGTCGTAAGTGTGAGGACTGGTCATAAGTCACTTTTCCCAGTGCCAATATAACTTGGAATGGTTGCTAAATGAATGGTTGTAAGTTAACCTGTATTGCAACATCAGGGATAGGATTTTGACTTTTTTTGACCATATCCAGTCGAAACCTCTGAAGACTTCAGCTATAATTGTGCACAACAGCAAAACACATGTGTAAAATCCCCCTTAAATTTCACCCAAGGGAAAAACTCTCAAAATGTGATTCTCCCTTAGAAAACAAGTAAAATCTCTCTGTGATATTTTTCAATATGGCTGAACCTTTCAATACCCTGGGTTTTTTTAACCATCACAAAACAAGTAGCCATGGAAATTTCTAAAACAAGACTGGGCAACAAGCAGGAGGGTTCAGAGTAGCAGAATAAAAGAATTGGAAGGGACCTTGGAGGTCTTCTAGTCCAACCCCCTGGCTCAAGCAGGAAACCCTATACCATTTCAGACAAATGGTTGTCCAATCTCTTCTTAAAAACCTCCAGTGTTGGAGCACCTACAGCTTCTGGAGGCAAGCCATTCCACTGGTTAATTATTCTCAATATTAGGAAGTTTCTCCTTAATTCCAGGTTGTTTCTCTCAATTAGTTTCCATCCTTTCTGTGTGGCAGCCCCTCAAATATTGGAAGACTGCTATCATGTCACCCCTAGTCCTTATTTTCATTAAGGTAGATATACCCAATTCCTGCAACCGTTCTTCATATCCCCTCGAATACGAAGAACGGTTCCCTCGAGGTCATCTATTCCCACGTACCTGTTTGTTAGCGAAGACTAAAAGGACAGCGTCTCTGAGCTCATCTTCTGCCAACATTCTCATAAGCTCTTCTCTGGCTTCGTTAACTCGCTCTCTGTCATTACTATCGACCACAAAGATCAAGCCTGAAAGGAAACAGCAATTGTTTCAAGTTGCAGAGAAACACTGTGCTGCAGTACAGGTAGTCCCTGACTTACTGCTACAATTGACCCCAACATTTCCATTGCTAAGCAAGACAGTTGTTAAGTGAGTTTTGCCCCATTTTATGACTTTTCGTGCCACAGTTGTAAAGTGATTGACTGCAGTTAAGTTAGTTAAGTGAACTTCCCATTGCCCATTTTGCTTGTCAGAAGGTTGCCAAAGGGGATCACATGACCTTGCGACACTGCAACCACCATAAATCCATGCCAGTTACCAAGTGTCTGAATTTGGATCATGTGACCATAGGGATGCTGCAACAGTCATTTGAAAAACCTTTCAGTCACTTTTGTCCACGCCATCGTAACTTCGAACGGTCACTAAACAAATGGTTATAAGTTGAGGACTACCTGTATAAAATAAGTGTGGATTCTGACTTCCAGAATTCCCCAGCCAGTATGCCGGATGGAGAATTCAAAGAGATGAAGTCCACACATCTTAAAATAGCCACGGTTGAGAAACAATACTCTAGGTTCTTCGGTTCAAAAATAAGCAATGGGGGAGGGGGGGTCTTCATTTAGAGGGAGAAATTATTATTTTATAATTTAAGTCTTAGTGGGTATATACACACAGGGAGAGAAACATCCTGCCACATTAGGCTTCAAGCAATACGAAATTGACTTCTGGATGTGGGAAAAAATAGCACATCCCCACCGTTGTATTTATCCCACATAAGCATTACTACTCAATTTTCTAACAGCAACATGCTGATGTGGTTAACCTGCTGATAAAGTGATTAAAAGGTCACCTTGAAAGAGGTTGTGTGTGACCATGGGAGGGAGGGGAAGGAAGGAAGGAAGGAAGGAAGGAGAGAGGAAAGGAGAGAGAAGAGAAAGAGGAAGAGGAAGGAAAGAAGGGAGAGAGGAGAGGAAAGGCGGGAGACGAGACAAAGAAAGAGAGTAATTTTCAATTGTCAAGGTTTCAGTAAAAATCAATATTTTATAACAATTCTTTCTTTCAGGAGTCAATTGTCAACCAGTCAGAATTGCAATTCAATATATTTAGCAACCTTAAATCCTTCCTATAACTTTCCCTCTCAAAAATTAGTCATAGATCAAAGTTTTTAAACAGTTCATAAATTTAGACCACAAAGTATTTCTTTTCCTCCAAACACTTTCCAATCTTATAGCTGGCCCAGTATACAATCTCTTCTTTGTTCCCTAGCAACTATCTTCTTAAAGGTTATTAAGAGTTCATGGGAACAGATTTTTCTTTGTTTCTGGGTGTTCTCTTTAATGTGCTATATTCTAATTGTCCACTAGATGTCAGCAAATATTTGTTTTCCAGCTCTTTCAGACAAGAAGTTATTATTTTTCTTTTTCTTTAATTTCATCAAAATCCTTTAGAACAGACATGTCAAACACAAGGCCCAGGGGCCGGATGCGGCCCGCGACGTGGTTTCATGTGGCCCGCGAAGCCATCCTGGAAACAGTGAGGGAGTGGCCCCCGCTGCCTTGGCCCCCAGCCCAGGCCGCCTGGGAGCCAATGTACAATTTTGTGGTGGCCATCTATGCTGAAACGCATTCAGTCTTAGCTCCACAAAAAGAAGCGCGCCGCCGCTCAGCCCCCAGCCTGCCCGATTTCAGCAGGCAGCAAGGTGCAAAGCTGACGAGCTTCGCACTGCCCGGCTCAGCCTCTCAGTGCTGTGAGGAGAGCGCCCTGCTGCCTGCCGAAACTGGGCAGGCTGGGGGCTGGGTGGCGTTGCGTAGGTAACGTCGACTCTCACGTTGCTCATGGCGTCCCCTCCCCCAAAGCCCACCAAGCCAGATATGTGAAGTAGGTGAGGGCCATGTGCTGGCCACTTGCAGGCAATGGTGCATTTCTTCATTCCTCACGAAGGGTGACACCTCCCCAGCTGCATTTCTTACCTGTTTTTCTCCCTCCCTCATCTCAAATATTTTCCCACCACTCTGTACTTAGGAAGGAAGGAAAGAAGGAGAGGGAGGGTCTGAGGGAAGTCCTGCCTTAGTCCTGCCCTGCTGCCCTTTCACCATCCCCTTGCCCCCTCCTCCTGGTCTATCCTGGGGGTCTCCCACCCTATTGCTAAGGAAGCTTTGGATACAAAGCCAGGTCTCCTCCCATGGAGAGGGAGTGGGCCTCCCTCTGACTTTGCCCTCATACCCATCATGAGCAACTTGGCTAAGGAGAGCAAGCACAGCAGCAGCAGCCTTGAGGAAGAGGTAAGTGCAGCTGGGCACCCCCTTGGGGTAGTGGGGCTGGGCTTGGTGCCGTGGGTGCTTGAAGGCCGGGTTGGGCGTTTGACCTCTGCTGCCCAGGGCTCTGGGAAGCCCACGGCACCATCCAGCCCCCCCTTGCATGGCCTGAGAGGAACAGTGAGGCTCTTCCAGTGGACCATGCCTTGGTGCTTGCCCCGGTCCCACCCCCTTCTGCCAGAGACCCTCAGATCTGTCCCACTCCTGCCCAGGCCCCCACAGGCACCCTTGACCCGAACGATGTACAGCTGACCATGCCCACCCAGTAGGCCACACCCACTCCAGCCACACCCACCCAGTAGGCCGCACCCATCAGCATTGCGAGGACAACCGCAATGCTGATGCGGCCCTCAATGAAATTGAGTTTGACACCCCTGCTTTAGAATATAATCTTAGCAGTTTGTTTTAGTTTCCAAGTTTGATCAGATTGTAGTATTTTAAATTTAATTTCAATATGTTTCTTTCCTCCTTAAAGGTTAATTCACCGCTTCTGTCTATGGGGGAATGGGAATGTAGTCCCCTCCCCTCACTTTCGGAGATTTTTTGCTTTGGGGATCTTTCCCAGGGACTTAGTTGCAAAATAAGGGAGAGAAGATCGAATACTTTCACTAATTCCAAGCACGCTGTTCACCGTTGTTCTGGTTAGTGCTCTTGGACTTCGGCTACAGGTAGGTTGGGCTAGACGCTGGCATGCGGCTAGCCTTTCTCCTGTTGGGTTTGGAGGGCTTCCCCTGGATCAAACGAAGCGATTGCCATCGCTTCGTGATCAACGGGGCGCCCCTCCTTCATGGTCACCTCTTTGGGGCGACTTTCGACCCATCTAGGGTCCCCCTGGCAGGACGAAACTAGCCGTGGGGAGCAGAGATTTTATCATAAAGGTGAGTAAATTCAGCTAAGGCAGCTCAGACAGAAGGGTGTTATTGAGGTCATGAGATTATATTATCCTGAGATAATAAATACAGGTAGTTCTCAACTTACAACAACAATTGAGCCCAAACTTTCTGTTGCTGAGATATTTGAGTTTTGCCCCATTTTACAACCTTTCTTGCTACAGTTGTTAAGTTCGTTGCATGGTTGTTAAGCGAATCTGACTTCCCCATTGACTTTGCTTGTCAGAAGGTCGCAAAAGGGGATCACATGACTCCAGGACATGGCAACCATCATAAATACATGCCAGTTGCCAAGCGTCTGACCATGGGGATGCTGCAACGGCCGTGTGAAAAATGGCCGTAAGTCATTTTTTTCAGTGCCGTTGTAACTTCAGTCACTAAATTAACTGTTGTTGAGGACTACCTGTATCCTTCATAACATTTCCATTTGATTCAAGCAGTTCACAAGATTTCCTGGTGCTGTCCATGCAATTCTGGAGCAAATGAATGCTTATGCAGATTAAATGGATTGAAATAGTATGTGGATCTTGCAGACTACCAACAACTCACCTTGTGTATTTTGGAAATAATGGCGCCAAAGTGGTCTGATCTTATCCTGTCCACCGACATCCCACACCGTGAAGCTAATATTCTTGTATTCTACTGTTTCTACATTGAAACCTAAACAGATGTGAGAGAATGTGCTCAGTTAATAGGAGAAAGATAAATTTATCCATTTAAGATGTCAATCACATTTGGTCTTCAACAGCCTGTTCTCCTTGCCAGCCAAAACACATCTTATAAGCAAGTTATCGCAATAATATAAAGAAAAACCTAACATTTCCCTCTCTATATACATTTTACAAAGTGGTATTAAAAAGCTAAGAGCCAGTTTGTTGTAACTGTTAAGGCACCAGGCTAGAGACAGGGTGACCGTGAGTTCTAGTCCTACGTAAGCACAAAGACAGCTGGGTAGCTTTGGCCCAATCACCAGGAGATGGTGAGTTCAAGTCCCGCCTTAACCATGAAAGCAGGCTGGGTGGCTTTGGGCCAATCACCGAGAGATGGTGAGTTCTAGCTCTGTCTTAGGCATGAAAGCCAGCTAGGTGACTTTGGGCCAATCACCAGGAGACTGGGACTTCTAGTCCTGCCTGAGATATGAAGCCAACTGTGTGACCTTGGGCCAGCCACTTTCTCTCAGCTCTAGGAAGGAAGTAATGGCAAACCACTTCTGAAAAGGCAGTTTCTGAGAATTGGGCATGACCAAACAGAATAAAATATATTAAAAAGCTACACATATGTTGTAAAATATTATAGAACTCCAAGATCAGAGGGTACCTTGGAGGTCTTCTAGTCCTTTTCCGTAGCAGGAATCTTCAGACCATCTCAGCTAAGTGGGTGCTCAACGCCTCCACCTTTTTAGCATTCCATAAGGCTTCAAGATCTGACTTTTCTCCCAAGTGTTGGGAGATTAGATGATCACACATTAGAACTGATTGGCAACAGGTTTTTGTTGTTTTCAATAATTTTATGGGTTGGGTTTTATAGTTTACAATGATTTTATACTGTTTTAATTTTTGATTGGAAGCTGCCCAGAGTTGGTTGAAAGATGGGTGGCTATATAAATGTTTTAAATAAGTAAATAAACCCGCAAGGATGGTGCACCTATGGTTATGCAGGAGGTAAGCTGTGCCACTGATGATTCTATTTCTATCTCCCCTTTTATAGATATATGTAGGGAAAATTCAAGATTAATAATAATAATAATAATAATAATAATAATAATAATAATAATAATAATAATAATAATAATAATAATAATAAAGTTGGAAGGGACCTTGGAGGTCATCGAGTCCAACCCCCTGCTCAGGCAGGAACCCTACACCAGACAAATGGCTGTCCAGTCTCTTCTTAAAAACTTCCAGTGTTGGAGCATTCACCGCTTCGGGAGGCAGGTTGTTCCACTGGTTAATTGTTCTAACTGTCAGGAAGTTTCTCCTTAGTTCTAAGTTGCTTCTCTCCTTGATTAGTTTCCATCCGTTGCTTCTCGTCCTGCCTCCAGACGCTTTGGAGAATAGCTTGACTCCCTCTTCTTTGTGGCAGCCCCTGAGATATTGGAACACTGCTATCATGTCCCCCCCTCGTCCTTCTCTTCGTTAAACTAGACATACCCAATTCCAGCAGCCGTTCCTTATATGCTTTAGCCTCCAGTCCCCTAATCATCTTTGTTGCTCTTCTCTGTACTCTTTCTAGAGTCTCAGCATCTTTTTTACATTGTGGTGACCAAAACTGGATGCAGTATTCCAAGTGTAGGGATATATGTAGGGAACATACCTAATACACCTTCCTCCTCCAAGCGTAATTAATTAAATGAAGGCAGTCTAAGCAGTGAACACTTTTAGATATTAAATCTGCTGTATTTTCACTCAGGAATCCTCAGACAACCTTAGGCTTGCTTTTCAAAACAAAAGTAGGATAGATTTTTATCCAAACAAGAACAAATGAGAGTGTTCCTACATACCAGGTTTCCCCGAAAATAAGACCCGGTCTTATATTTTTATAGGCCTCCAAAAGAGACATTAGGTCTTATTTTTCAGGGGATGTCTTATTTTTTCCTGACACTTGCCTTGCCTCGCAGCAGCGGCATCAACAGCCCCGCCCAGCAGGAGCCCGGGTGGCTGCTCCCCACTTCTGCTCGCAACAGGTGGCCACGTGGTGTGCTGGTGCTGACGCCACAAGGCAAGGCGGGGGAGGGGAGAGCCCTGCACCTGCTTACCTCAGGGCCCCCACAGCCAGGTCTCCCACACCCTGCCACCTGCCTCGCCTCTTAGAAATCCAGGGCTAAACAGTACAGAAGTAGAGGGGGCAGAGCTGGTTCACCAGATTGAAAAGAAAAAAAAAAAGGCGGGCAGTAATTCCCTTTCTTCTGCATGGGAAGACCACATCGGAAATCAGCATGCCCCGATGCTCGTTATGGATGGCTCATCTGAGTTTTCGTAACATTTCACAGTAGACTTCTGAATTGATGGTCGAACCACACTCCGTGAACTTCACTAGCAGTACTCCTTTGGCATCTTCACATTTGGCGGGATTTTCTATGGCACCACTTCCGGTGTGGTGTTGGTTCACAATAATGCTCACCCGCACACCGCTAGATGCACCCAAGAACTTTTGAAGCAGTTCCGTTGGGATGTTTTTGATCACCCCTAATAGCCCAGATTTGGCGCTGAGCGACTACTAAGGAATTTCAAACCTTGTAAGACGTTATGACAAGTGTCTCAATTTGAATGGCGATTATGTCAAAAAGTAATGTAATGTTGTAGTTTTCTAATGTGTATAGTTCTGTATCTGCGAATGTCTGTCATTGATAACCAAACAGAGGTTAATTTCCGAATTGCCCTCGTAATTGAGTTAATTGAAGTAGCATGATCTTGGCTACTACTCATCAGCTACTGAGCAACCTATACAAGCTAATTCTACATTTTCACCCAGTTTTGTGATACTGTGCAAAACGTACCCATATTTTATTTTAAATCCAGAATTAGTTGCAATTAAGAGATGCTTGAATTCTTACCTATAGTAGGGATGGTAGTTACTATTTCACCGAGCTTAAGCTTGTACAATATAGTAGTTTTTCCTGCGGCATCCAGTCCAACCATAAGAATACGCATTTCTTTTTTGCCGAAGAGGCCTTTGAAAAGGTTGGCAAAAATATTTCCCATGTTTGAGGATGTTGTTCACCCACTGGCCAAGAAAATCTAGGAGACAAAGGGTTTCAAGACTATTAGCTCAGTAAAACATCACGATCATAGCTAAGCCCAAAAGTATATATTAATGGCCCCCATGAACCGAGGGGGATTTATTTCTCATGTAAACATTCATACAGGTAGTCCTCAACTTACAACCATGTGTGTAGTGACCATTCGAAGTTACAAGAGCATTGAAAAAAGTGACTTATGAGCATTTTCACTGTTATGACCGTTGCAGCATCCCCATGGTCACGTGATCAAAATTCAGACGCTTGGCAACTGGCATGTGTTTATGATGGTTGGAGTGTCCCGGGGTCATGTGATCGCTTTTTGTGACCTTCTGCCAAGCAAAGAAAATGGGGAAGCCAGATTCACTTAACCATGTTTCTAACTTAACTGCAACGATTGTCACAAGATCATAAAATGGGGCAAAGCTCACTTAACAATGGCCTTTGCTTAGCAAGGGAAATGTTGGGCTCAATTGTGGTCATAAGTCGAGGACTACCTGTAGTCAGCTTGTGGCAACAGAGGTTCAATAGAGGCAACAGAAGGCAGTATTTATGCAGATTAAATTGCCATGTATACACAAAGAGAGCAACAGGTATTTCCATCACAGGATAAAGTTTTAGCAGGAGACAGGCAGTTTGCTCAAATATACAATTAATGCTCAAATATACAATTAATGTAATGAGGACATGTTCTATGAAACTAATAAAATGGTCAAAATACATAAGGATGTTGAAAGATATGGGTGTGAAAACCATGTTACTCCTGAAAAACAGGTCACTTTAAGTTTATTGGCTATAATTATATCTATTTATAAATATATCTACATACATTTCAAGGAAGGAAGGAAGGGCTTCAACATAAAAATAGAAGCATAAAAGTAATTTCAAGACAAATGCATTTCTTCCTGTTCCCTAAATAAGTGAAACAGTAGCTAGGACAAACCATCAATTGTGGCATGCTATTCAATGTTAATCACACTTAGAAGAAACTATGCAAGGAACATTGTTAGCAGCATGAACCAGATATGAAATTTTCCTTAATGAAAATAATCATGCATTTCCCTCTGTAAAACTGAGCCCAGCTTGACAATCTCTAAGTTGGCAGAATCCAGTTTGACCAGTATGATTCTCTCAAAGGCTGTTCACAATTCTAGAGCTCAAGCATCATCTGATGCCCAGCTAACACTGGGATTCTCTACTTGATTCTCCTGACATCATAACTAGTAGTTAACTAGTTTCTACTCTGTCAAACTTGGCAGAGAAAAAGGCAGCCCTCTGAGAAGTCTACGGTATTAATTTAATACAGGTAGTCCTCAACTTATGAACATAATGTAGCCCAAAATTTCTGTTGCTAAATGAGACAATTGTTACGTGAATTTTGCCTCATTTTATGACCTTTCTTGGCACACTTGTTAACTGAATCACTGTACTTAAGTCAGTAACACAGTTAAGTGACTCTGGCTTCCCCACTGACTTTGCTTGGCAATGTAAAAGAAATCTCCAAATCTTTCAAAAGTGTAAATTAACTTCCACCAAGTTCTGATGAACTAACAAGGAAAAGTCTAAGCTGGGAAAAAAATAGGTGGGGGGAAAATGACACTGAGTAACTGAGATATTTGTTCCTGAATCTATGTTAGTTTCTGCATCTTGTTTATATTTCTCCCATGTCACAAAGATAAAGATGAAAACCTTAAGCCAGCCAAAATCTAAGGTAGGCCAGTGAACTACATCACTGAAAGACCAATAAGTTAAACATCAGAAAATACATGCTAGAATTCACTAAGAAATTTTTTTTAGCAATGCCATCCGCCTTGGCATTTATTGCAAAACCTGGTTCTTAAACACAAAAATTAATGCTTAAAAGCAACTGTCCCCCTCATTATCCCAAGTATTTATGAGGGGCATGTCATTATCAGGTATTAGCAACATGAAAAGTTATTTAACATATTTCCTAAGAAAAAACATTAACCCAAGATTTAAGAGGACTTTCTCCAGTGGGGTGCATCCAGCCAATCAGCAGAGACTAGCAATATCAATCCAGCCTGACATTTCCTGATATTTCAGGAAAAAGAAACTTAGGCAGTAAATTACATTGTCCTGAGATGGCTTTGATGCCCAGAATTATACTGTACTGTAGTTACCTGTGTGGTAAAGCTAGAGAAACAATTCACAACCCTGGAAATGGGAATGGCCAGGAAAACAGCTTTGAAAAGCATGGTAAGCCTGGAAGGGACTTTGGAGGTCATCTAGTTCAGGGCTTTTTGACCGGTGGTACGCATACCACCTGTGGTACATTAATGAGTGGCAGGTGGTACGCAGCGCTGCCTAGCCAAGTGTAGTGGGGGAGGGAAAGAGCCAGCGCAGGCAAGGACTTACTGTGAGAGAGTCCTCTGGAGCTGCAGAGTGGCTGAGAAAGGAGGAGGAGGGGGCCGGAGACAGGAGAGGCTATAAAACGAGGCAGTTTGGGCGGGAGAGGGAGAGAGAAAAAAAGCAGCAGCCTTGGGAGGAGGGGGAGTCAGCTCTAGCTGCACTGAAGGGAAAGAAGGAGGAGGAGGGTGGGGGGAGAGGAGAGATCAAGATGGCCGGCCATGAGCCGATCTACAACTGCTGTGGCAGCCACCTGTGCTGGCAGCAGCAAACAGGCAAGAAATGCAGTGGGGGAGGGGTCGCCCTCCACGAGGAATGAAAAAAGGCAGCAATGGCTGGAGGTGGGGGGGGGGGGGGGAGGGGGNCTTAAGGAGTGTTTGGCAATTTCTATTTGGCTGATGTCTCGTGTTAGCTTCTATTGCTCTGCTATTGTTAGCTGTAAGTTTTGCTGCAAGGGATTTTGAAGTATTTTTCTCCTGAATGGATTTTGCCTGTAGCATTCCTTTACTTATGAATGGAGCCATTTGGGGAGGCTGCCTTAGCCGGCAGCCAATACTTACTACATTTTTTTTTCTTAAGTGCTGGCTGCGCTCCTTAACTTTGCTTTCTAGCCAGTAGCTAATTCTTAAAGGGGAATGTGCCTTTTTAAGCTAGTTCACTCAGCAGCTTGTCTTTTCTTTTCTGTCTCTGGAGGCTTTTCCTTGTTTGATGAATATATGGAAGAGAGAAAATATAGGGGGGGGGGGTTAAATTCTTCCTTCAGAAGGAGGTGGGCATGAGAAAGAGGGAGGCAGGGAAGGAGGGAGGGAAGTAAGTCCCGCCTTAGCACTTGGCCACCAGCAGCTCTGCCATTATTATTATTATTATTTTTTTCAAAGAATTTTTTATTGTTTTCAACATAAAAAAAAACACATCACAAATACATCACAATTGAAAGAACCCCCCCCCACCCGGACTTCCCAAACCTAATCCCAGGATACTATTCAACTAAAAGTAACCTTGTATTAAGATCCCTAACTCCACAAAGTGTTATTCTACATAAGTAGGTGAAATATATATATATGTATAAAGAGAGAATTTTTTTATCTAAAAACCTAACTTATATTCCACCATTCTATGCTTATTTTGAATATAAACAATCCATCTTCTCCATATTGATAAAAATTGTTCATTTGAGTGATCCTTCAAATAAGCCGAAATCTTTGCCATTTCAGCAAGATGCCATTATTATTATTGTTGTTATTATTATTATTATTATTATTATTATTATTATTATTATTTATTGAATTTATATACCGCCCTATCTCCCTTACGGGACTCAGGGTGGTGAACAGGCGATAATAAAAAACCACGATAAATATACACAAGTTTCTGTTCTAAAATCAAATTAAATAACAGGCCTGCTCTAAAAGTACCCCATACAAAACCCCCACCAAAACATAATCAAACTACGCCAGGCCGGCCGCACGGAATAGATGGGCCTTCAGGGCTCGGCGAAAAAGGCTGTCTTTGCTTGTCAAAAGGTTGCAAAAGGGGATCACATGACCCTGGGACACTGTGACCATCATAAATATGAATCAGTTGCCAAGCATCCAAATATAAATCACATGACTCTGGGCATGCTGCAATGGTCATAAGTGTGAAAAATGGTCATGTCATTTCAGTGCAATTGCAACTTTGAACAGGTTTGGTGGTTTTTTGGGGGGTCATCAAGTTTTTGACACCTTGCTAGGTGGTACTCGAATATTGCCATATCCTAAAAGTGGTAGAATCGGTGAAAAGGTTGCAAAGCCCTGATCTAGTTCAACCCTCTGCTCAAGGCAAGAGACTTTATACCATCCTGGTCAAATGGTTGTTCAATCTTTTCTTGAAAATCTCTAGAGATGGAGCACCCACAATTCCCAGAGGGAAGCTGTACCACTGCTTGCTTCATAGTTCTCACCGTCAGGGAGTTCCTCCTTATTTCTAGGTTGCATCTCCTTCTGACCAGCTTCCATTCCTTTCTTCCTCCCTCTTCTTTCTCCTTCCTTCTCTTTTGTTCCTTCCTCCTTCCCTCCCTCCCTCCCATCTCTCCTTCCTTCTTTCACGGCTCAGTTGGCCTAACAAGCTTAAGAAGACAAAGACCTAGCTAAGACCTTGTACAATAAACTAAGTTTGGCTAACGGTGATTTGTATTTCCGTCATGGCTTAATATTTGACCCTTCCTCCCACCCAAATACTAGGGCCAGAAGGTACCTTGGAGGTCATCTAGCCCAACCCCCTGCCCAAGGCGTGGAGTCCTTACACCACCCTGGCCAAATGGATTAAGAGTCTTGTCCCAGCCTGTCAACGCAGACCTTTTGTGTCTGATTTCCTCAACTTCGGCTAATAAAGAGGAAGAGAATCTTCACCACAACACACTTGAAACTCCCTAACCTTGCGCAACTGTTTGGATGACGTCACCAGCAAGTGACTAAAGGATCCTAAATCCCCACCCATCCCGCGTCTTTGGGGCCAAATTCCAGCCGAGGAAAGAAAAAAGACACCCCCCCAAAGCCCATCATCCACCCCGGGGGCCACCCTGCCTTCTCCCCGGGTCTATGACACTTTACCAGACAATTCGCTGCGGGACAAGAGTTAATATCAAAGATATGGTGGAATTGAATCATTAAAAAATGGATGCAAAAGGAGGGACAGAATGAAATGTGAATGACAAAAAATAGTCGTCCGTGATGAGTTGCCTGCGGCGAGTTGTCCCACTCCACTTCGCCCCCGTCTCATGGACGCTACAGCCAGGCCAAAGCACCAGGACTATGGGTGTAAGGAGTTACCCATCCCCCACCCCGGGCAAAGGAGCCCAGGCCTGAGGCCTATAAGGAGAGGATCCCGTGCAGGGCCTCCTTCTCGCCCTCTGACTACAGTCCCCTTCTCGTGGGGGCTAGGGAAGAGGGGAATGGTGGTCCTCAAAGGCGGCGGGGGGGGGCAGCGGGGAAGGTCAAAGGAGGGGAGAGAAGAGACTCACAGCTGGGCCGGGACAACAGCGGGTGCCGGGGGACTTTGCCCCGCCCGGTCGGCTCAGGGCGGGCCTTTGGCGAAGGAAGGGTCGGGTCATACCAAGCCCAGCCGCCGCGAAGACTTCGTGAGGGATCGGCTGCTTACCGGGCGACGTCGCGGGGTACCTGGCTGCGGGGACGTCGTCGTCGTCCTCTCCGAGCCCGCCGGGTGTCTCGCCTTCACCTTCCGTCTCCGTCACAGCCTCCCTCACTGCCCACAAGATGGCGGCTCCCCACGGCCACGTCAGTGCCAAGGGCTCCGGAAAGCACGACCGGAAACACAGGCTGGGTTGGGGTTTTTTTTATATCCCTCCTTTCCCTGCCCCTCCTCCTTTTTCTTTCTCCCCGAAAGAGGGAGTCAGAGCAGGGACGGGGAGGCGTGGCCAAGTACTGCGGAGAAGGAGAAGAACAAGGGAGACCTACCTTTACGAGCATGCGCGCTCCCCTTCTTCGTCTCGTGCGCCCTGCCGACCGTTAGAAAGCGGGAACGGAGGTGCCCGTGCCCTTTTCAAAGGGGAGGGGGAGCGCGCGCGAGCCTGGAAAAAGGGGCGAAGCCTCACGGGGAGATTCTGTGGCGCACGCGCTGGAAAAAAGGGGCGGGGCCTCCTGGGCTCGCGCACCATTTCGCGGAGGGAGGGGGTGGAGGGGAGCGTGTCGCTTCCCTCAGCAGTGGAGGGCGGCACCTTTGGGGACAGCAAAGCTCATCATCCCCTACTCCCGCGTGGCCCTCCTGTTGCATCCATTTGGTTCCTGACTTAAGTTTCGTTTCTCCTGAAAAGCTTACCTGCCTGCCTTAGGTTTCGTTTCCTGATTTAAGTTTCATTTCTCCTGTTAAGCCTACCTTGAATTAGTACCTCCTTGACTTAAGTTTCCTGTTCTTTGTGTATGGCAATGGAGAGCCATCCCCCTATTGTCCTTTTGTACAC